CAGCCTCTTCACTTTTTCTTGTTGAAACGCAAATCCTGACACCAACAAAGCAATAATGTGCCATCAAGAACCTGCGGAAGTATGTTGTTATTGGGAGCACACACTTGCACGTCATCCATATAATGGTAGATGACGCACTCCCCTGCTCTGGCACGCAATAGGGATAGGATTCTGGTGACGTACCACTGGAAGAGGGAAGAGGAGTTCTTCATCCCTTGGGAAAGAATATGCCAGTGGGTAGCACCTCATGGGAGCCTCTCGGTTGATGGAAGGAACCAGGAACTCCAAATGTGGGGCATTGGCTGGGTGTGGAGAAATTTGAAAGAAACAATCTTTGATATCAATTACTGCCAATTTCCAATCTTGCGGGAGCATTGAGGTGGATGGCATCCCTGGCTGGAGAGACACCATGTCTTTGATGACTTCATTTGTTTTTCTCAGATCGTGAAGGAGGCACCACTGTCCTTCCCCAGCTTTTTGATAACAAATACCGGGAATTCCAAGGGCTGCTTGTTTCTATGATATTACCTTTTACTTTCGACGAGCTGAGTGACTGCATTTAATTTCTGTTTGCTCAGTGCCCACTGATCTACCCAGACAGGTGTATCAGTGAGCCAGTTCAGTTTCTGAGTAGGGCACTCTTCATCAGTGGCCACACTCAAAAAACCTGGGGAGTCATAGGGATCTCAAGCCTGACTCCCCACTGGTTCATGGCGTGTCTCTCCCACAGAGTAAATTTGGAATTTAACATAAATGGGCATACTTGAGCCAATTGCCCATCAGATCCCGTAATTAGTACAATGCTCTTAGACTGCTTTGCCAATTAAATTCTCCCTACATCTTGAACCCCACTTGCCACATTTTGTAGTTCCCAGTGTGACAGCCATTTTTGCGGTGAAATGTCTGTCGCATCCGCCCCTGTGTCCATCATCCCTTGTAGTTGTATAGAATGCCCCCTACTCTTAAGGCTGCACCAAATGAGGGGCTTGTCCTCTCCCACTGCCTTGGTGTAATAAACTGAAAGGTCCAGGTCATCAAACAGCTGTTGAGCCAATGGAATGGCCTGAATGATGACCTGGCCTTTCAGGAAGAGGCAGGGATGGCAGGGATAGACACAACATGCCAGGAGAATGAGATACCCCAGAGTAGGTGGTATAACTCCCAGCTCAATCTTGGTCTTAGGGGGTGTGTGTCTCAAGTCCCTTACAACAAGGTACTTACAACCCCGCCAGTAGAGACCTTTGACCCTTTGGCAAATCACAGTTTCCTATCCTGGGTCTACATGGATTTCATGCCAGTACGGTAAAGAAAACATCATAGATTGGGTTAATTGAAGCCGGAACAGCTTTGTCTTGTCCTGGGAAGTGAAAAAAACAGAGGGACCATCATTAAGGTTTTCATTAACAACCACCCTGCACTCTGCACAAGGCAGTTCCAAGCTCCCACACTAGTTTTTTGGAGGGTTGTTTCCTCCCCTTCCCCCACGTCCCGTTCCCCCTCGTCCCCTTCCCCTCCTCAGTGGTACTGGAGGAGCATTCCCTAAAAACAGACAGTCCCAAATCCAATGTCCTGGTTGCTTGCAATGGAAGCAGTAATACTTCCTCGGTGGAGTGGCCGGTGGAATGGTGTCCATAACTGCGGCTGTCTTTTCTTTGGTGGTAACATTCTTCTGCTGTTCCACTGGTCTTGCCCTTGCTTTCTTAGTACACTCTTCATAATGATGTCTGATGAGGGTGGCGGTGTCAAGGGAGGGCAAGGATGATCTTTCTGCACTCCTCATTTCCATGACCACTTCCAGGATGATTTTTTCTTGAATTTCTGGTTTGGCCACATTCTGCTCAACAACCGCCCTGACCCTATCTACAAAATCCAGAAAGGTCTCATCAACCCATTGTTTCAAAGATATAAAACTGGGCAAGGGCTCTTTTGTTGGCATAATTTGGAATGCCTTTTGAGCAGCTTCCTTTATACTGCCAAGGACAACTTTAGGGATTTTTTTCAGTTTGCTTCCAAGCCAGTGCCCAGTTACCCTCTCAAACTAGATGACTTATTGTGGTGAGATTGTCATCTAAATCAGTTGCCGTTTCAGTGTTATCCCAAAGCTGAGGGAGGAGGTCAGCAAGCAGTCCCTTCCAGGCCTTGAGCCACAGCTGATACTGAGATGGTGTGAGCAGGCTGGAAAAGATTTGTTTTAGATGACCCGGAACAAAGGTGTTTGCCAATAACATTGTTCTTAAGGGGCCCTTGAAATATTCACTGTGCCAGCCAACCTCCTTCTGAGTCTTGTACAATTCTATGATGTTCTGGTAGGAGAAAGGCACCCACTTGGGATGCCTCTGCTACCGTCATAAGTTAGGGGGCAGAGATGACATCACTGTCATTGTTCCACCTTCGGTTTCCCACTGCCTCACCCACAGCCCCCACATCGCCGTAGGAACCAGAAGGATAAGCGTGGGAAACTGGAAGTGGGTGGAGCTGGCAATGGAACCTGGAGCCAGAGCCAGGACTAGTTTGGGTGGAGCAACTGAAGGCAGTGGGAACTGGGGATGGAACTTCCGGAGGAGGAGCGCTGGGAGGACCCATGGGCGGAGCCAAATGGATTGACACCAAGGAATGGAAGGAGTCAGGAATATAGGAGGGGTTTGGGGGCAGGAAGGGGCAGGTTTAAGAGGATGGGACAGGGAGAAAGGGATTGTGAGGAGAAGAAACACAAGTGAGGGGCCACTTCATGTGGTGACAGTCATCTTGTGTTCCTTTTTTAGCATTCAGGAAGGTGCCATCTTGGAGATAAACCGGGGAATTTATAACTGGAGAAGAGGGTGAGGTTACGGGGACTGGGAAAGGATCCCTGACAGTGGAGCCAACACTGTCAGGGCACAGATACTGAGGAGGTTTTGGGGAACCAGGGAGACAATCCATGACTTGGGGGGTGCCCTGTGCCTTCTCTGGGTGATTTGCTCCCCCCAGTCTACCCAATATGGAACAAGGGGGATGAGGAACAGGGGATGAGGAACAAGGGGTGTTGGAGTGAACTGGGGATGATATATTTGTTTGTTTCTCCACTTTCCTTCCAAAATCTTTTGTAATTGATTGCATTTTAATGAAAAGATGAAAAAATTCCTCCCCAGTGAGTCGCCCTCTTTAGTTTTTATTGTGAGCTTGGCTCCCACTCCATTCCAAAATGCAACCATCTTAACATCTTGGGGGGTCACATTTGGAAAATGGAAAAACAACCATCTTACAAATCTCTTCAATTGGCTCTTAGAAAATACCATTCCCCCACTCTCCAGGGAACTCACAACTTGGACATAAACTTCCTGCTGTGGGGTTGACATTCTGGCACCCATACTGCCATCACAACTTTTTCCTCCAAACTTCCACGGCTCAAAGGAGCAAACTAAAGAAAAAGGGTCCAAGGAATCATCAGGGGTGGGATGCTAATGCAATGCACCACACTTCCCCTAACCTGGGAATGCACCCATGAGCACCCAGCTGGGTCTGTCCCAGCTGCTGGGATACTGACCAATCCAATGATCTTCGGAAAGAAAGACGTAAGGAATGGTCCTCACCCAGGAAGGGGTCCTCCTTATGTCCACCACAACACATACAAGGTTGTCCCTTCCTCCCCTGGGAGCCGCAATGACCAGAAAGCAGGTGAGCTGCTCAGGGGTTCTGATGATCCAACAAGCTTTACAAACCCAACACCTCGGGTCAGAGGGACAGCTCTTGCTGGGGTCTGGCCACGAGAGGGAAGGCTGCACGTTGGGTGCCAAGCAGACACAGCGCCCGATTTCGGGGAGAAAGCTTAGCCAGGCTAGCTCATTTTCTCCCTCGGGGCCGTGCCACCGAGTGCCCGCTCCCTGCCCAGTCAC